CCAGGACTCTCAGCAGGGAAGCAGCAGCAAGCCTGCCTTGTGATTCAGCGTAGACTGGGTGGTCTGAATTCAGAATGAGAAACCAGGATACAAATAGGAATGCTAGTGCTCATGCACAATGGTCAATTACCAACCCTGCCCTTTCTAGAGAAGGGTCTCATCCCAGGAGCCCTTTCCCCTCCACCTTCTCTTTCTCTCTCTCCAAGGTACAAGCAATAGAGAACAAACCCCCATTCTACTCACCAAGCCAAAGGTTGAAGCTAGAGAAGGGTCTCATCCCAGGAGCCCTTTCACCTCCACCTTCTCTTTTTCTCTCTCCAAGGTACAAGCCATAGAGAACAAACCCCCGTTTTACTCACCGAGCCAAAGGTTGAAGCCGACTGAAGAAACCAAGGCCTCTGATGCTAACCCACAGTCTGTGGCTATTCTAAAGGGACGTTCAGAGTTTTCCCCTAATTACATTTTCAAAAGTGACATTGAAAAAAAAGGGAAATTGTTGGCGGGAAGCTCAGAATGATTTGACTGAGGCTGTCTGAGGTTTTGGAGGGGCTATTTTTGAGCTTCAGAAAAGGTGGCAGGAAACTTTACTCCAGACTGGACTTCCTCTTTTTCTCCCGTTGTTTTTCTTGCCTTGTTTACTTCATTTCAAAATCCAGAAATTCAGTTTCTGGAAAAAACAAAAGTTACTGGACTAGTTGACAAGGATTTGCTTGACTCAATTCCTGGAATTTTTTTTAAAAATCTGTTTATTAAACTTATAAACCACCTTTCTTCCCATTGACACTCAAAATGAAGCAAAAGCCATAAAGACATTAAGTTGTCCAGGGGATGAAGATATCTAAAGTAGCTTCCTCAGGCTTGGGAGCCAGTGAAGGCCTCATCTTTTGCAGCTCATAAATCAGGTCAATGGACTCAATACAGATGTGACTGCAGTGAATGCAGCTCCAAGTCTTTCTTGAGGGTCCAGTTTGGATTGGGGCCCTGATTCTAAGAGAGGGAGTTTAAGCTCAGCTCATAAATCAGGTCAATGGACTCAATATAGATGTGACTGTGGTGAATGCAGCTCCAAGTCTTTCTTTCTAAAAATTAGGCATGTTGAGGGTCCAGTTTGGATTGGGGTCCTGATTCTAAGAGAGGGGGTTTAAGCTTCTGTGGTATTTTCCTGTTATGAAATGGCCCCCATAGAAAGAACCAAACAAATGTAAGACAAATACGTTTATACCGCTATTATAACAATTTTGTTGGTTAGTGAGGTGAACAAGCAACACAATGGGGTGGAAGGGGGAGAGGGGAAAATGGTTAATTACAGTAGTTATAGGGTTCTCTGTTCTTTTATTGTTTATATTAAATAAAAACTATAAATGAATAAATAGAAATGGCCGTACAGAATGCTATTTGTCCAAGCACAGTGAATGTAGGTAGGGCAACTCGAATGTAGGCAGGGCAACTCAAATGATAAAAGGGTTGGAACACTTTCCCTATGAGGAAAGGTTAAAGCACTTGGGGCTCTTTAGCTTGGAGAAACGATGACTGAGGGGTGACATGATTGAGGTTTGTAAGATTATGCATGGGACAGAGCAGGTAGAGAAAGAGGTACTTTTCTCCCTTTCTCACAATACAAGAACTCGTGGGCACTCA